CTCCATCGCTAGGCGGTCCAAAGCTCTCTGGACGGCCTGTGGATCGTCCCCAAGCGAAGATATATCATCGGCGTAGTCCAAGTCCTCGACTCTGTCAGTTGGGAGAAGCTCAGTACCGCAGTTTTGAGGGCCTTTTAATGTTCGTTGGACGACATTTTCAATGGCAAAATTTAGGAGGAAAGGTGAAATTGGGCGTACTTGATGAACGCCGCTGATAGCAAACTGAATGGAAAGCCTGCCATAAGCCCTGAGTTCGCCCGACTGTAGAGACCCTTCAGGATGATTTTAAACTTGTCGGATACACCTCCCCTTAGTAAACAGTTCCACAACGCAAATCTATCTACGGAGTCAAATGCCTCTCGGATGTTCAGGAACACTACGCTTGTTGATTGTCAGTGGACGTGACGGAGTTCAAGAAGTTGGCGGAGTGTGAAGAATTGGTCAATGCAACCTCGGCGTGGACGATGATCCGCTTGTTCCCCTCGGGAAACCTCACTAGCCGCTGAAAACCTGCGGAGTAGGAGAGACACAGAAATCTTGGACGCAGCAGTGATCAACGAAATTCCGCGCTAATTGGCGCAGTCCTCGCGGGACAATTGCCAATCTTCCCATGCAATTGGGACTTGCTCATCAATCCAAATCCGGTGAAAGGGTTTCGCTAACAAGCGCATTCCCGTCATCTTTGTATGGAGCTGGGGGTAGGCTACTAGGGCCGGGAGCTTTATGACGTTTCAGATCTCTGTTTCGGTGGGAAAATCTTTGGTGATAGGCCAAGCACCATCCGAGGGAAACGGGGTGTTACAGTGGGCTTCGCTGAACAGTTAAGTTGGAAAGCAAAGTGCTCTGCCCAGAGACCTAAGTGTCTGTGTAGGCTGCTGATTTTCGTGTTATATGACTGACGGTGTGTGAATTGCAACCAGTGCTTTTGCTAGGTAAAATAAACTGCGAGAGTTTTCAGCCGATGCAGCGGCTTTCATTTCTGCAGATCATGGTCAGAGCGAAGAACTAATTTCAGCCGTTGAGAGGTAGACCGACGGAGTTCTTTGTGCTCCGCACCGGCGGGCGCAGTACGTCGAGAATTTAGCTATTCCAAGTATCTTACCGAAATCCAACTTCTGCTTGTGCACTGGGTGAGCCAGCAGCTGGACAAGCCGGCGGATAGCATTGCCTTTTACCAGTTTGACCAGGGTTGGTCAACATCCAGAGCATTGAGGAGAGAGAGGTACTCACGAAGACTCTGTTGATACTGCGTTTTCACCGTTGGTTTGTCCAATTTGTGGATGTTCAGTCGGGTATGCTTGGTGCCGCATGAGCCATGGAAACGCATGCAAACTATCGCACACACCAATGCTTGATCGGTGTCAACACAAGTTGACCAAAATCATCAGCACTCGCGTACGCTTCCGCGCCATTTGCGACTTATCGCTCTATGCTTGATTTGGGACCAGCGCTGAGTTGACGATTGAGGACTCCAGGTGGAGTAGTGGCGTCCTGAGTGACGAAAGCTCGTTCTGGAAAGTTGGTAGTCGACACTTAGACTGAGTAATCTCTTTCCTTTGTCATAGCGAACATCATCATACCCATGCGATCCACCGAGGTGGCATTCACATTGCAGCAGCAGCAGCAGACCAGTATGTGTGTTGAAATCTTCTGTCATAATGACGATGTCTGTTTTAGGCGTACTTAAGAACAGCCAATAAAGTGTTGATAGAGCTGGTCCTTGACTGTATCCGAGCTGCAGTCAGTGGGCGCGTAGGTGAAGATCACGAAAAGAGCACGTTTGTCTGCATGATGCCTGTTGACCACGGAGCTTCAGTCTATAGGTGACTGTTCACCAGGATCCAATCAAGGGGAGCTGCCTCGACTCTAGCACTGAGGACCATCCCAGCACCAGTTTGCCTTGATGCGGCGGATTCAGCGTCACCAGGAAACCGAAGATAAAAGCGGGTGGGTGGTTGGACTGGTGACGGCAGCTGGTAGTCTGTGTTGGAATCCTGGAGTCGAGTTTCACTTAGGCAGCAGACGTCATTTCCAAGGGCCTCCAGTTTGTGTGCAGGTCCGGCTTGCTGTCCGATCTGCAGTTATGTGCGCATCTTGTGGGTTACTAGTTTGAACCGCCTAGGTTGCAGTAACGAAGGTGGAAAACTTCAGGGCTGACATCTCCTTGTCGAGGACTGTTGAGGAGTAGCGAAAGAACCACTTCCTTGGCGGGGGTAGGAATGTTCAAACTTAAAGAATCAGGTACCAATAGAGACGAATGGTACAAGGAAATAGTATGAAAATTGATGACGTTTGTAAACTTGACGTAGTAGCATGGCATTAGATCATCGTGAAAGCAAAACGTAGTTTGGTTCCATGAATCATCAGTTGGCAGGATGCTACCCGGTTGTCTTGGCCGAAGTAAGTGTGTTGTCTTAGGGGACCACGGCCGCGAGCGTTTGACCGGATGGGCTAACCTATAAGGCAACAGGGCGAAATAAGGGGTTCGCACCCACTGGGATCCGGTGACTGAACATTAGTTCATACGCCTTTCGGATGATGAAAAGCCAGACCAGGGGCTCAATACTCCCAAAGTCAAGACAGAATCCGATGCTCGGATTGTTTCCGGTAAACAACGTCTACGAGGAAGACAAGGGGCAGTGACTATCTAGTGACTAGTCATCTCCGTCACGTCGCAGCATTGTTAGGTTGACAGTTGTTGCTTTTTATAGGGAGAACGCTTGCCCAACATAAACCCACTACGTCTTGGAGCAGTACCCCCGATCCATTCGCCCGGCATACTCGAACAGCCAAACTGGCATCACTGGGAAGTTGTCCGGAAATTGACCTCATTGATTTTGTCTCCACTGGCCTTAGCCAACCTCATTTGTGCCATGCTGATAATCGGTCCTTCTCCTCCGTTACAGGCAGGCAGTTTTGTTGCGGGTGTTCCACCATCAATCCGGTTGGCATTTCCAGTGCGTAGTACTAAATTGCCATGATAGCGAGTACTTAGCCTCCTGCACAAATCCATTGTACCTGTATATACCGCCTTTTTCCTGTTTTTCCTCTGATCGATATCCACTTCTCTTTGTTCAACCAGAAAAGCACTGTCACTGACTTCGCAGCCGATAATAACGTCCAACGTCAACCGCACTTCAGACCGAATCTCTTTTCACATTGGTTCATTCAGTGTTCGTACTCTATGTCAGATCAACCAACGGACATTACTGGCCCCCTCACCTTATGCTCGTGCAATCAGTATGTACCACATTTCCGGGACACGCATTCATGATAACAGTGTCGTATAAAACCTTCGACTGCCTGTCTCAGCTCTAGTGGCAACATCTAAGTTCTTCGTCTTTCAACCGATTAGTGATCGATGGATATGCGTGTTTATTTGATTGTCAGATATACTGAACACAATCCACTCGAATGCACTGCAGTGGTTGTCTACGTATGTTCAGTCCCACTAGCTGATGGACGCCATCTGAAGACAAGGCATGCATTTATTACTTCGTCGTACGCTTCCAAGGGCTGCGTCCCGATGATGAATCCAACCGTTGACTGATTCCTCATGCGCATGAATAACAATACTGCTGTTGCGCTTACGCAGTTGGTTAGCAAGCACGTGTAGCTACTGCTAACACCCGGGACACTGCTACCTATCTACAGTGTTCATCGCATTCGGATGGATACACCGTGATTTCATGACTGAACCCTGGACGTTTTATTGAAATCGCATTTGTGTTATATCCTGGGTTGGAAGTCCACACGAACAAACCTGGCGGCCATGTGCCATCGAGCATGATTATGGCACGTGTTAGATGTAAGTCGTCATTGAGGCAATGCATACATCAGAATCCAATCACATCGATTGCCGATCGGTCACCTGGCTCTTCCATCCTCACCATGATCTGGGTCACTGTATTCCATTTCTTGCTTCTATATCACAGCCTGTGGATGGATATGGGCTTTTGCACATCGCTTCGATTTCGAAATCTAACAGCAAAACTATTCGTACCGTTGTGTACGTCTTATCTCTGAAAGACTGTCCTATTGTGCAGCCGTCCATATCCTTACCTATTTGATATTTTATCGTGTCCATAGTTTCGTAGGTGCCGTACGTTACCTGGATTCTTATACACACTTGCTATTCATCTAGCCACTTGGTAATGCGCTGCAAAACGTGCAAATAAACTAGTATGCGGTTGCACTGTTGTTTACGTTCCTATCGTTGGTGTCTCACCCTGGCCTGATGTGAATTGTCAACCGATAGCTGTGCAGGTGACCCAATTATAGCATTCGGTGTGCCTGAGTAGTTCCTCGTCACGTGCCGCCTATAGATACTCGGTATTTCACTCACATCTGCCAACTCAGTCGAACCATACTAGGTGGATTGTAAAAAATACTCCGGCTTTATTAGCCATATAAATGTCCATCAATGGGAGGTAATTTCCCCTTTGGGTATATATGGATTCAACTTGTCATTTATTTCAATATGACCGTTGATTGCTTCAAAACAAACGAGTATTCTGTGACCGCTTTCTCGGAACTACCTGGAACTTTTTTCGAAACGTACTGGTAACCTACTTTTTGAGTAGACCCGCAGTGCGCTTTCCGTTCTCTTCACCTTCCAAATCGGTGGTGCTTACTTGGTTATCATCAGAGCAATCGGGGCTACCTCTTTACCTGACTTATCCTATTTAGCTACCATACGTACTGATTGAGGCCTCATATACTTCGTAGATTTCTGTCATTTTACCTAAACGAACATAATCCGCTTCACTATTTGCAGATGCCTCTGCGGTTTATCCTGCTGATTCCCTCTTCATTTCTAAAGCGACTTCACTGCGTCCACTTCATAAGCCCTTTTAAGCTTTGTAGTGAACGTGAGTGTTTCTCAATGTATGTACTCCAAATGCCACTTCGAGGAGTTTTTTTCGGTTCTTGTTAAGCCAGTTTCACTTTTTTCACTCTCACCGATCCGACCTATCACACGCTTGTTTTATTTAATATAGCCTACGTTTCCTTAATGAAGGAGCTGTGGAATCCTGACATGTTCGAGTCGTCGACAAATCCGTCCCATTTCAAGTCGCAGATTCAACGATTTGCTCCCCGATTTGTTGGTTACTCGTAAGTTGATCTCTTAGTCCATCACTTTATTCCTTGAAGCGAGCTCCTCTATCGTACCTTCATTTCAGTTCCATTCAATTAAACAACTACGATTCAGTCACTAGAATCACAATAAATAACAATGGCAAGAAAATCAGCTTGACTGCAACTAGAACCTAGGGAGAGTGGAATCAGGAAGGAAGTACGTTAACCAAATCCTGGTGAAATGAAAATTGACAGGCAGATGCTAGAAATCGAATGAAAGAACTCCACTGACTGCGCAACTGCACCATACCTGGAAGCGTCTTCAGCCATTGGGATGGATCATCCAGAGGAATCCATTCACGAAGACAATATGCACCAGCCTGGCCAGGTCACTTAATCAGTTAGTTTAAGCTTTGATGCCATGCCATGGACTGGCCACCTGAGGGTTTCGCTCAACTTGGTGCGGCCACGGCTCATAATACACACCGAGGATAGCGGTCGATGGGCATACGAAGCTTATGGCTTAGCCACTGTAAGCGGTTTAGATCAAACGAACACTCGAGTGAGGCACTAGAAGGCTTCTTGCCAAAAGCCAACTACCGGACCTTGGCATTGCTCATTCGGCGTTCCCACCATACTGGTGGTCGCACACGGCCAGATCTCTGATCCGTACAGTAACACCGACCTTATCGCCGCATTATAAACTCTACCTTTCATTGAAAGGCTGATATTCCGCTGACCCCATAGATTGTTGAGCCTCTAGGAAGCTACATTGGCCTTGCTAATACGCGAAGTAACTTTCTTACTGATATGACCACCAGAGGTGGCACAGTTACCAAAATATGTGAAACTATCCACCACTTCTAGTGGCTGTTCCGGGATAGCTAGAATCTGTGCTGTACAGGAAACAGCTTCATTTAGACCGCTACTTGGCCTCGGGAGTTATGGTATATAGCTTTAAGAAAGGAAAGTATTTTCCCTGACACTCCTTTCACGCTAAGCAGTGCCACTACCTGGTGTGGTCAGCAGATTCGAATGTGGTTTTCGAGTCACGGAAAATCACCATACTCAATCGTCTGTAAACTTGACGAAAAGTTAATATGTTTCGATGCAACCACCATCATGGCGGAAGCCAGCCTGGTTTTCAGAGATTTGGCTCTCATTGGGTCCAGTTGGTCATGGAGGAATTGTACACGCAGAAAGTGCGCTGACCTATCCTGAAGGTGGGCACGCTAGTTGCCAATCGTCAGTCGGGAGACACATTTTCCGTGTTCCAGATCGTTAGAACGGATCAACTGTCTATCCTTCTCAGCTGTTGTCGCATAAACTGAACATTTTCCCATACTTACGTCTCGTATGAGCTGGAACAACACTCAGATATTCCCAATAGCACTGGCTTTCTCCATTCCACGTGCCCTCGCTCCTTACCTGTGTTTATGGTCGATTCGAGATTCCTCTCTAATCATCGTTTCAGGGCTTTACGGACACACTGAACCTAGTTACCCAACGGAACCTGTTTTCGTGCTTCGTTAAAATGATCGATGCCTCTGGGGTCCATACACAATTCGTACGTCTCGAGTTGGACTTACAACAGGCATCAAAAACATTCCTCATGGCACTACTGAAGCGATACCGGTCAGCGTTTCGTTCAACACCTTCGTCACCGACATTGGATGGCCGGTTCGTTATGATATTGCTGAATTGTAGACTTACGAGTAGGCGTTTCTTTGAAGTGGGATGTGTGAGTTCCAGACATGCACGTACTAGAGCATGATCGGAATCCAGGCATCTGCTCCAACTTGCCCGACAGTCGGACTGGTGTGTACTGCCTGTAATTAATGAAATTATGGTCACTCTGTTTCCTGGTAATCGAGGAATTCGGTAGGCACCAAGTGACGCGGTGTGTACGTTTGTGCTGGGAAGCAGTGTTGCTAATATCAAGATTGCACTCGCCACATAGTTGGGGAAATCGATTCTTATTATCGGTACAACGTGAATTGATCCTAAATATGATGTTTAGAGTCTTAAGGACAACTCAAGGGCATTCAAATCACAAACAGCAATCACGATGTCAGCGTTTTTCGCCCTGACGATAGGAATTGTCTTTCAAACCCTCCGAACTGCAATCAATGGGGGCGATCAAAAGGCACCTTATCTTCATACCGTGCTTATTATCTCCATTAGAGGGTCAGAATTAGACCATATACATGCGGCTGTTCACTGGTATCCATTCGACTCGATTGCTTCCTGAATGTTTCCTGAGGACGATTATGATATACTAACTACCCTGAACCACTTAGTATCGCCAGAGATGCGAAGACTATTCATTATGAACGGATTCGGAGACATGGATTCGTTGTTTCCTCATGACTGATTGTTAGTTGTACACGTTAATTAGTGGTAAGGGACACTTCAACGATTGTGCTGCAGTACATGTTAGTGGGAAAGGCGCGTCAGAAGCATCCCAGCTGCGCCACCGGTAACGGATGGACATCGTTCCGGAAAGCTAGCAACCGGTTATTGTGCCGCAAAAAAGTTATATTATACCTCCGAAATGAGATCATGCATGGGGAGGGAGGCTATGCTGGAGGTGGGAGGGGGACAAAGAAACTCACAACATAGACGCTACTGCGGTCGGCTCCTAGCCATGTCACCAAGGTTACCCGCCCAAACGTTTTTATGGTCTTTTGGGCCCCAACCAGGGAGTCGAGAAGCTCCATCCGAGGCCAACTTGGAACTAAGGGCTTCATTTCTCTCGACCAAGTCATCGCTTGACCTCCCTTCCTCTTCTATCCACCCCCTCCCCGGTGTGCAAACAACACGCATCGCGGGAGTCCTTGGGCTGGCACGCGCAACACTTGGCCCAACCATAGGAACCTGGTGCGTAAAATAACGGTGCTGAGCGGTTCATCTCTACGCCACAAAGGAGGTGTCGAACACACACACTGCTCACATGGTGTTCCCACCAGGTATGAACTAAACTGGGAAGACACTGGTGGTCGAACGTAACTAGTCTCTTTGCGTCTGTCGATCTAATGGGTTAGGTTTCACAACCGTACAGGGGCTTCGAACGTACGGCTGCGTTGTTCACGACCTTTCAGGGGGAGCGTGATGTCGCGCCGGCGCCATAGGTGACGATGGTTAGCAATAGCGCCTCGAGTTTTTACTACCCGGTTCGTGACTTTGTCTTTGATTCCATATGCCTTGATGCAATTGTCTAGGTAGTTGAATTTCTGAACGACTCCAGCTGATCCCCACCAAGGACCAACAAAGGAGGCGATTTCAGTCAATCTTTGGGGAAAACTACTTTTTGATGGTGCAGAATGGCCTGACATATCTGTGAGTTGTCGCAGATGAGGTCAATGTCAGCATTATATACCATGTCACGAAGTCGTACACCTGGGAGCAGGTCCACACCTAAGTCGTATCCAGTAAGTGTGATTCCCATGGTTTCATCATTGGCGAATTTGAAGAGAAAAGATGACAACAAGCAACCTTCACTCACACCGCTCGCTATATTGATGGGCGGCGACAGCATACCGTAAGCCCTCACTACCCGAGCTACGCGCGTAAAGCACTGAAGTAATATTTGCAAATTTCTCGGGTACACATTTCCTTAACAGACAGTCCCAAAGTACACATCGATTCACCGAATCGAAGACACCTTTTATATCGAGAAACATGACATCGCTGGGCCGCCAATATATGTGACGGTGCTCTAACAATTGATGTAAAGTGAAGATGTAATCGTTGTAGCTTCGACCTCTGCGAAAACCGGTCTGCTCCTCACAGCTCTGACTCTCACGATTGTCAGGCAATCTGGAATGAATGTCAGGAACAAGTGACTTGGAGGCGATGGTAATAACTGGTTCCACTACGGTTACCGCATTCCGAACGAGCGTCTCTCTTAACGATTGGGACAAAAGTGAAGCGGCTCCAGTCTGTTGTAACAGTTTCATGCTCCCACCACTTCACCACTATCTCGTGTAAGTCATCTACAAGAGCATGTCCCTCGGATTTGAAAAGGATTTGATGTGGATCATCTGGTCCTGCGGCCTTGTTCAACTTCATGTCCGACTTCTGGGCGAGAGGGCAGATCCAACGGGATAGTGCATGAAATAGAGCGATCACTGGCTGGCGAGAAATCTGACAAATCTGGGCGATCAAATTGCCTTTCATAGTGATCAGTCCAACGCTGCAAAAGTTTTGACAAGTTGTGAATAGGTTGTCCACTCTCGTCACCTAAAGTTTGACTAACATCAAATCTCCTGCTGCTCGTTTCCCGTATCAAACGGAATAACTTCTGACAGTTACCAAGGATAGCAGCCACTTCCTTCTCCGGCGCACTATGGGGCAGTCTCTTCAGGCGTGCATGGAGCCTTGCCCTGAGGTCTACAAGTCTCGTTGTGTCCGCTTCCAGTTGGCATGTGCCAGCGAGCATTGATTAGTACCAGAGACTTCGTTGAGACCCAATGTCCAGGTTGGCTATTACATTTACCACATGAAGATTTGTCTGCCGCTACTAAGGTCTGGTGAACATGCGACCAGTGGCCTTCTACTGTATTCAGTGAGCGCCTACTCAACCTGAATGCCAGCATACTTTGGTACGCATTCAGTATATTTGGCTTCGCCAGTTCGTGGATGTCTATGCGCTCACAGCGTCGTTACGGGCCTCCGCAAAAAGGCACCCGCAGATCAGCACTTACTAGTGCATGCTCAGTGTCCACACATATGCTCCAAATTGAGCGACAGTTTCGCACGAATTAGACATAGCTGTCTATGGGAGGATTGAATGCTCCACATAGAAGCTGGTGAACTGGGTTTGCCCTCTTGGTTGGACACGGACTTGTCGACAAAGCATGAGTGATGCTCTGCGTTTGCATGTGAGTTGAAGCTAGAAGATAAACGTCTAACAAAACTAGATGGGGTCAAGAATTGGGGGTTTGGTTGAAATCGGAGGAATACAAGTGAATTTGGAACGAAATGATAAAGGTGAAAAAGCCTAAGAGGGAAATAAGAAGGTGGGAAGGCTTGAGCAGCAGCATTCAAACACCCATCCATCCCGCTCGATCCAGCAGCTAGGGCGCCATTGCTTATCCTTGCGACGGCCAGGGCATCAAGAAATGGTTTTTTAGACGAGTTCATTGTATTGCTCGGGTAGGGTACTGCTAGGTTGGCCAGGTCTAGACAGGAGAACGATTAGGGCTCTCAACCAAAGCCTTTTGTTAAAAACCTGACCGCAAGGCAGCGGGTATGGCAATGGTCTACTAAGAGTCAAAATCATATGGAGCCACCTTCACGCCAACCCCCAACGTGGAGAACCTGGAGACTGAGTTTTCTGACCTATCTGGTATGAGGGACTGATGATGCAATAAACACCACCCAGCACAGCTTACTAGATCACTGAGGTACGAAAACGATCGCACCACGGTAAGATCCAGCTTCATTGCGGCGGTTCGTCAGGACACTTATCTTGTGTGTTTTCGAGATGCAGCACACATCAATTCCAAGAGAGTGAAGAGTGAGAGTTAGGGTTGCCTATTGGCCAATCTGCTCCAGAATGCGGGTGTTAAACGAACCCTTAGTTTTTTTTCTGGCGGTTTACCTGTATCGAGAGCAGCAGTTGCGAGGTAAGCAGCAGTCTCTTGCTCAATATACGGGGGGAGGACGAGAATTGAGTGAAGAAGAGGGCGTGTTGTTCACGTGTTTATAATAACAGATGATGCTCTCCAGCTTCCTATTTTGAGACAAACAAACATCCGAAGACGCACTTTGTTATCCTTCTGGCCCTGTACATCAACTCTTTAACTACCCACCTTTACATTTCATTGTGGTGACACCTTTCTATTTGCCACACCCCAACAGTCAGTAATATGTCAGGGTTATTTCACGCTTTCTCACGCTTTCTTTTCAAAATCTTTTTAGTGTAGCAATATGCACTCCCTACATATATATGGAATAAACTTTACGTTAAACGTTTAAAGGGCCGAATAATCTCTATGGCACTGATTGTCATAGGCTGCACCTCTCTAGTTTGACTGTTTCTCCGGAGTGATCAGCTTATCCATCCTCTGTGTCCATTATCGATTCCACCGCTAAATAGACGAACAACAACTACTGACCAAAGCTGGCTCAGGATTTTTGGATTGCACATTGTGTTTCTGCGCATCGTTTTCGTTGATCGTATCTTGGTGAAAAGTTACAAGTGTGTATCTACTTGCAATATGTGATCAAGTCAATTAAGTGCTATATTTATTATGATGAAACATAATTAACGAGTTGATTTAACCCATCAGAAGTGGTTGCCAATCTTGATTATGCCGTCTTGGTCATGTATCCCTACTGCCCATTAAGTCAGTCAACTCTCATCTGCTCTTCACTCCCACCATACTGCGTCTGTTACTGTTTCATTCTGTTTTCCTCACTATCAACCGAACGATGTGATTAATCTCGCCTGCTACCACACCCCAGCCAACAGGATTCGCAGGAGTTTCTTCGTTATCTCTTAGAAGGACTCCACATGGAAGTGAATCGTGTGACAAAGCGGCCACACTTGGTTGTCCCGGACTACGAGGCGGAAGACCGACTGCCGTAAGCGTTTTTTTAGTCTGTCGTTTGGGGATTTTATGCATACACTTAGGCCGCCGGGTTGAGCTGGTTACCGCGCTGGCTTTCCCTCTATTTTGGCCCATACCAATCTCAACGGGTTTAATATAGATGATCATATGGTACAACACGCAATGAAAACATGAAACGTTGCATGCGGATATATATATATATATATATATATATATATATATATATATATGGCAAACCTACTAGTGGCAACCTTTTGGATAGGCAGTGTTATGCGGAGTTTGTAAATCTAACAACAAGGAACTCTATTTGTTGTCTCTATTAAGGACTAGGCACCAAACAATTAATTACATACTGATTTTTTCGTCTCCACTGAATCTGACGCTGTATCATAACTCGTCTTGTGTCCCGGACCTTGTGCTTTTCGTCTCGAGCTTCCCGGACTGGAAAATGCAAGGTATCAAGAAGTCCGCACTTTCTTATTTTGTCTCCAAATGATAGGCTGACTACGACGCCGTTTATACCAATGCGTTCCTACGGTTTTAAAGCGTGCTTGGCGTGGTAAACGCTCGTATTAAATGTATACGTCATAACAGCTGCAACTAGACAAGCTTATAGTAAAGGAGACCCAGGCTTCCCAAGACTTGTCATACCTGAGCGATTCTTTTACCACACACGAACGATTTTCCGTAAACGTCCAATCTCAGTGTCCGAAAGCCGGTATGAGTCGTTCACTGAGGTCTGCAAGGACTCACATTCCCATCACATTATCGCACGTAAAAACGAACACTACTAAACCTGTTCTTTAACGCTGGACAAACCTCCAGATGCACCAGAAATGCTCCAATTTATCAACCACTGATCGCATTTTGGCGGTACGAAACGATACGTCCTTTCTGATAGCGCCGCCGATTGAGACATAGCTTCTTAAGTAAACAACTGTCTACATGTTTACCGGCCGGTAGCCTTAAGGATCACAAGTCTGCTTTGTAATCCGAGGACGTGGTTTCCAACCTGCGTAGGGACCGGACGACGCTCACAGTATCCTTTGCAACTGGCGGTGGTCACGCAACAGCGAGGTGTCGGTTTTGCCTACCGGCGTACTGCTAATGCTTTTTTTGGTCTACTGGTTCAACCTAGGTACTGTAAAGCGTGAGTGCAGAGAGCGTTACTTTGCACCCTGAAAGGACAAAACACACACAATCATACCCTTAAGTGGTCAAACCCTCTTATGTGTGGTCTATACTCTAAGACTCCGCTGCGCAAGTGGTTGCCATCACATACTCTACTCGGGTCCCGAGAAGAAACTTTTCAGCGACGTCTTTAAAACCTTCCGTTGCATTTAACAAGGTTAACTGATGACAAACTGCGATTTGACATCTCTTTCGTACGCCGCTTTTGGAGGCGAAGGCTGTGGGGAGCGTAAAATTAACTTTTTCCATGGCTGAGACGGTCCTATAGCACTCGAAGAATGGTAATCTCGTTTTTGCAAACTTTTTCATTGATAGATAACATCATAAAGGAGGAAGTCGATCGACCGAGTAAAATGCAACCTGAATATCTCGGAAGGAAACATGTATGTGCCTGTGATTGATGGAGTGGTGTTCAATGGATTAGCGGATCTTTGATATTTGACCCATTCAATCTCGATTGTAGCAGGTCATTTTGTGTTTTGCACGAGAAGGCTGTTCGCGAATCGTGTTTGGAAGCAGATTGGACCCACGTAGTACAGATTTGACTGCTTTGGGCGATAGTTACGTGTTCCTCCTTAAAATCTGAACATTTACAGTCTCATTCCAATAGAATGAACCATTTTCGACTTTGGTTTTAGTACCGTTAACTGTTTGACAATTGCTACGAAGCTACTTTTGAGCGACTCCATAGGAGTTTCGTCTAAACTTTAAGTATGAAGCTGAAAGCATCCCTCTGCTGCTTCGGATGGTTCTGATAAAACGGTCTAATGCATGTGATTATGTTGGGTAAACAATGGTGGTTAGTTCCAATTGACGCAAAAACTGGTAACCCTCTAACGTAGTGGTTGGTGGTCTGTTTGTCTGCTGAGTCCAATATTTCCCTAACCAGTTATCCCAATACTTTGAAAGTTCTTGCGAAAATGGCCAGCCAAGAGAGCAGTTTCGCAATCTTTGTGTTTGTAGCAGAAAGTTGATGCGGTTAGCTGCACCCAGACCCAACTATAGCATTACGACGCCTACCAAGCAGTTTTTAGAAACAACGTTTGTCGGGTGAGATCACGCGTTGTGCTGCCCAATGGCAGTAACGCTTTCTGCGCAGAAATCCATTTTGCTCTCTAGCTCGGAGCGAGTACATCTGCTTCTGAATGAGCGATCAACTAGTCTGTTCGTATCAGCTATGCGACGCTCTTGTATTCAAGACCCCTCGAGCATGTGCAATGGTTCGTGCAGGCCAGTACTTGATGTGAACCAAGTGGGTGTACCGAATCGTTCATCTAGGATCAGTTGTAATGTGCTCGGTTTAAAACCGTGCTTAGTTATCAGAAGAGGACACGATGTTTTGGGACGTTATACTTTATACGTCTTGGCGAGGTAGTAGGGGGCGAGTAGTTCAGACATCTGGCTTGCAGTTCACTGGTCACCGGATCGAGCCTGCGTAGTTGCGATAACATCGCAATGTCTCTAGCTCGCTAGGCACCAGCTATCCATGGTGTATCAGTGGGGAGTCGATACGAAGTACGGTGATACTGATAATGCGTTCTTATCTCTTTTACACCTGTTGAGGCTAGAGATCAACGTTTTTGACATCGTGCAGCTCGAGAGGTCTCTCATCATTATACCCGTTAGCTAGAGGTGGAAAACAGCTCAGCTACTGTGCTGCAATACATAAAGGAATGATAATAAAAAATAAATAAATAAATCATGCAACAGATTAATGCCAGCTGAGCCACCAGTAACGGGTGGGTATCATTCCAGGAAGCTACCAGCTAGCAACCAGGCAATAAAAAATTACTATGTAACATTATATTTTTTCTTAAACGAGATCCTGGTTGGAGGGGTAGCTAAAAGAGATGGGGAGGGACAAAGAAACTCACAGCAGGAACGCCACTGAGGTCGGCTCATTGCCATGTCAGCAAATGTATCCAACCAAACGTGTTCATCGTCTTTTGGACCCCAACCAAGGAGCTGTGACGCTTCAACCGAGACCAGCTTCAAACTGAGGGCCTTCATTGCTCTCGACCAAGTCATCGCTTGGTCGCCTGTCCTCTTCTCCCACCCACACCCCCGGCACTTAAACAACGCACCTCGCGTGAGTTGGTGGACTGGCATGCGTAACACATGTCCCAGCCATCGGATCTTGGTGCTTGAAATAACGGTGCTGAGCGGTTCATTACCTTTTTCTGTGCCGTAAACAAAGCTTCGAATACTCACGTTGCTCACCTGGTGTTCACACCAAATGTGAGCCAAACTGCGAAGGCACCGGTGGTCGAACGTAACTAGCCTCTTTGCGTCTGTCGATGTAATCGGCCAGCTTTCACAACCGTACAGTAGGGTCGAAGACTTGGGCAGTAGCATCCAAGCCCCTAGCCACCCTGCTCGATGTAGTAGATAGGGCGCCGTTGATTATCCTCTTTGACTTTCAGAGTATCAGGAAATTGAAGAGAATTTCATTGTATTTCGTGGGCAGGATACTGTCAGGTTGTCCAAGCCTAGACAGGAGAACGATTAGGGTTCTCAACCAAAGCCTTTGATTCAAAAACCAGACTGCAAGACAGCGGGTTTGGCGGTGGGCTACAAGGACTCACCCTCATTCCAACCGCCAACTTGGAGGACCAAGAGGCTGAGTTTGTCTGGCCTCTCTAACTATTGACCAATCTGGTATGTGTGGCTCTGAAGGTGCAAGAAAGCACTACGCAGCATAGCTCAATGGATCGCTGAGGCACACAAACCATCGCACCACGGTTAGGTCCAACCTCGTTGTGACGGTGGGAGGTCTGTATTTCAGACCTTCCATCCTAATGCAACCGAATATCTAGCAAGCATGACATCCGATTCATCTGCTTCAATAATTTGATGAAGCTCTCGATGAAATATCTTCTTGACTAAGTCACCGCTGCAGTCAATCTAAATACTGTCTATCAATATCTTGTCCCGCATTTCTTCGCGCCGGAAACCCAATTGCACACCTTCTACTGCTAATTGGGAACCTTTGTTTTACTACTTATTACTTTACCGACGCCAGCCAAATAGGATGCAGCTGCCTCTGCGTTAACGGTAAGACATATGTGGTTCTTAGCTCCTCTACTGGGGATAAATGTCAGCTCTGATTATGCGGTCACCTTACTGAAGGACAGTAAACATCGACACTGAGAGATTCCAGTATGGGTGTGTGACCGACCTGTCCCTTGGTTTGAGTGAATATTCCTATCTTGGAATTCGCCCATCGGAACGAAGATTGGGGCCGAAGCAAAGCAACTAGTCGAACTCAGTGGTTATCGTCAAAATCGTTATGTGATTTCTAAGGAAACAGGATCTATTAGCATACATTCATTTGACGCGTGATTTTTGCCCGTGGATGACGAATTCAGTAGCGATCGAGTGCGATTCAGCCGTTTCAATATTCGTGGTGCAAACCGATTACTTGAGCCGAAGTAAGGCATAAATTTAGGTGAAATTTCTCCGTTTTTGTTTTGATGGCCTGTGCGCATTACAACGGGGTGTGGTCAGGTGATAGTATCCACTTGGAACCAGTGACCATGTACTCGCGCCACATGCCTTAGACTTATCGACTAGTGGCCGAACGGATTGCGCGCCTGTGCTTTTACCTTGAAGTCACTGGTTTGAATCCGCGTAGGTGTTTGCGACCTCGCAGGATACCCAGTCCTCACGTGGCAGCGAGGTGTCGGCACGGCGTGGATTATTAAGCTAGACCCATTCTTCCCCAGCAGACATCGTACAACGCTTCACGGATGCAAGCAACAAACAGTGAATTGGGTTAGTGACGAGTTTCGTCCACCATATTACGATGTTGCCAAACAGACA